GTCTAACACACAAATCCAGTCCTCACAAAGCCTTCAGAAGCTTGCAAGGCCCTTGATGAGACTGCTCTGCTAACTCCAGGATCACCTCTGGCCCTTCACTTGCAAGCACTCCATCCCCAGCCTTGCAGACCTACCTGTGGTTCACAGAATCCAAATACATTTCCATCTCTGCACATGTTCCCTCTCTTCCAAGACCATCTCCTGCAGTTCAAGAGCAATTCAGGCATCATATCCTCAGGTTGTACTAATCTTCCCAAGGACCCATTTTCTGTACTCCTCACTGCTCTGAGCATACCCACATCACAGCACTTATCACACTGCAAGATTTAACCCATATGACAGTCTCTCTCACTGTATTAGCAGTAGTTTGGGGGCAAGGATTTGCTTTTATTCACTGGTCTCTAACACTCAACATTTCCTGGTAGAATTAATAAAACAGTCAATTCAAACCCGAGTCTGATTCTAAGGTTCACATTCCTTCCACTATGCTGTAAAGTTAGAGAGTAGAAAGAGAAACTGGATAGTGTAGGACAACAAAAAGGCAAGAGGCTCTTTGTTAACCCACAGCTAACATACTTACTGGTGAAAGACTGGATGTTTTCCTCCTAAGATTAGAAGCAAGACAAGGATGGCTACTCTCACCACTTCTATTCAACATCGTACTGGATGTTCTAACCAGGGAAATTAGGCAAGAAAAAGAAATAAAAGCCATCCAGATTGGAAAGGAAAAATTAAAACCATCTCTATTCCCAGATGATGTGCTCTTGTATATGAAAAATCCTAAGCAATTCACAAAGTAATTATTGGAACAAAAAAAAGAAGTTCAGCTAGGCTGCAGGATATAAGGTCAATATACAAAAATCAATCGTATCTCTATATACTAGCAATGAACAACATGAAATGAAATCAAGCAAACCATTCCATTTACAATAGCAACAACAACAACAAAAACAACCCTTAAGAATAACTGTAGGGCTTCCCTGGTGGCGCAGTGGTTGAGAGTCCGCCTGCCGATGCAGGGGACGCGGGTTCGTGCCCCGGTCCGGGAGGATCCCATATGCCGCGGAGCGGCTGGGCCCATGAGCCATGGCCGCTGGGCCTGCGCGTCCGGAGCCTGTGCTCCACAATGGGAGAGGCCACAACAGTGAGAGGCCTGCATACCGCAAAAAAAAAAAAAAAAGAATAACTGTAACAGAAAAAGTACAATATTTGTACAGTGAAAACTATGAAACATCACTGGAAGAAATTAAGGAAGACCAGGACTTCCCTGGTGGTGCAGTGGTTAAGAATCTGCCTGCCGATGCAGGGGACACGGGTTCGAGCCCTGATCCGTGAAGATCCCACATGCCGCGGAGCCACTAAGCCCATGCACCACAACTACTGAGTCTGCACTCTAAAGCCCGCAAGCCACAACTACTGAAGCCCACGTGCCTACAGCCCGTGCTCCACAATAAGAGAAGCCACCTCAATGAGAAGCCCAAACACTGCAATGAAGAGTAGCGCCCGCTCGCCACAACTAGAGAAAGCCCGTGCAGCAACGAAGACCCAACATAGCCAAAAATAAATAAATTTATTTTAAAAAAAGAAATTAAGGAAGACCTAAATAAATGGAAAGACATCCCATATTCATGGACTGGAAGATTTAATATTATTAGATGGTAATACTCTCCACCTAACTGATCTACCGCAACGAAGAGCAGCCCCCGCTCACCACAACTAGAGAGAGCCCATGAGCAGCAACAAAGACCCAACACAGCCAAAATAAATAAAATCAATAAATAATTTTTTAAAAAAGACAATTCAATGGGGAAAGAATAGTCTTGCCAACAAATGATGCAGCAGGATAATGACAGCCACATGCAAAAGAATAAAGCTTGGACTTTATCTAATACCACATACAAAAATTAACTCAAAATGGATCATATGCCTAAATGTAAGAGCTAAAATAATGAAAGTCTTAGAAGAAAACTTATGAGTAAATCTTCATGACCTTGGACTAGACAAAGATAGCTTATGTATGACACCAAAATCAGAAGTGACAAAAGAAAAAACAGGTAAATTAGACCTCATCAAAATTTTAAAAATTTGTGTTTCTAAGGATACCAGCAAGAAAGTGAAGACAATCCACAGCATAGGAAAAATATATTAAATCATATATCTGATGAGGGACTTATATCTAGAATATGTAAAGAACTCTCACAACACAACAATAAAATGACAAATAACCCAATTTTTAATGGGCAAAGGAGACACATCTCCAGGAAGACAAACAAATGGCCAATAAGCACATGAAAAGATGCCCAACATGATTAGTCATTAGAGAGAACCGCAAATCAAACCACAGTAAGACACCACTTCAAATCAATTAGGATGACTAAAATTTTAAAAAGACGGACAATAAGTGCCGGTGAGGACGTGGAGAAATTGGAACTTTCGCAGATTGCTGGTGGGATTGTAAAATTGTGCAGCCGCTTCAGAAAGTACTTTGGTAAAACAGATCGCTAGTGGGAAGCAGCCACATAGCACAGGGAGATCAGCTCCGTGCTTTGTGACCACCTAGAGAGGTGGGATAGGGAGGGTGGGAGGGAGGGAGACGCCAAGAGGGAGGAGATATGGGGATACATGTATAACTGATTCACTTTGTTATAAAGCAGAAACTAACACACCATTGTAAAGCAATTATACTCCAATAAAAACGTTAAATAAATAAATAAATAAAGTTGTTTGGCAGTTCCATATGTTAATTATAGTTACCATATGACCCAGCAATTCCACACCCAGGAGACCCAAAAACATACATCCACGTAAAAACTTATATACAAATGCTCCTAGCAGCATTATTCATAATAGCCAAAAAGTGGGAATAACCCAAATGCCCATCAACTGATGAGTGAATAAACAAAATGTGGTGTGTGCATATAGTTCAGTCATAGAAAGGAATGAAGTACTGATACATGCGACAACAGAAATGAGCCTTTGTCTCAACTGTACCTGTGAGATTTTAACTTATGGAAGTGACTGAGTGACGACAAGGAGAGGTCAGTGACATTGAAAGATTTTTATTACTCACGGTGCCTGAAAGGCGAGCACACCACACCCACCGGGCCCTACAGGAAAGCTCCAGTTTGGGTCAGGAGGAGGAAGGAGCCAGGGAAAGCCTGAGCCAGAGCCTTTATTGTGTTTTCTGCAGGAAAGGCAAAGCAGGGCAGGGTAAAGAGTTTAGGACTGACTAGTCTGAATAATTCTGGCAGGCTTTGGGAAGGGCTGTCTCTTAGTTGTTTGGCACCTGGCCCTCATTTGACGTAGGGCAGGGGAGAGATTAGCTTGGTGTGTGAGAGTTTGATAAAGGACGTGGTTGGTTCCTGGTTCGTTCGGGGTGTGGGCTCTGGACTGGATCGTTTGCGTACGAAGTGTGCTACAGGGTGAGCCCTTTCCTATCTCTCAGAGCCTGGCTAGTCCTGGGAGGGGCAGCGAGCCCACAAATTCCAGAGCATCAAGAATACAGAAAATAAGATGATACAATTAAGACAGCTGGCCTTCTGATGAATGGACACCAAACAGACAAATACAGGATCTAAGAAAACCCAGTTAGAACAGCCTAGAAAACATTATGCTAAGTGAAAGAAGCTAATCACAAAAGACCCTGTATTCCATTTATACGAAATGTCCAGAACAGGTAAATCCATAGATACAGAATGTAAATCACTAGTTGCCAGAAGCTGGGGAAAGAGGAGAACGCAGAGTGACTGCTAAGAGGTACGGGGTTTCTTTTGGGGGTGATGAAAATGTTCTAAAATTAGATAAACCCGTGACTATCCCTAAAACCACTGTACACTTTAAATGGGTGACATGTATGTGTAAATTATATTTCAATAAAGTTGTTATTTTAAAAAAATACAAAGAAAGAGCGGTGTTCAATACTTTCACAAACAAGACATCAGAGGGGAATTTCCTGGTGGTCCAGTGGTTAGGACTCTGCACTTTCACTGCAGGGGGCCCGGCTTCGATCCCTGGCCTGGGAACTAAGATCCCACAAGCCACGCAGCATGGCAAAAAGAAAAAGACATCAGTGGAAGAGAGGTGTCACTACTACTTACCCTCAGATCTCTGGTCTCCCAGAGTTTCTAGCTAGAGATGAGGCTTCATGCAAGATCTCAACATTAATCCAGGAAAGAAAGTCCTTTTTTTTTTTTTTTTGCGGTACGCGGGCCTCTCACTGTTGTGGCCTCTCCCGCTGCGGAGCACAGGCTCCGGACGCGCAGGCTCAGCGGCCATGGCTCACGGGCCCAGTCGCTCCGCGGCATGTGGGATCTTCCCGGACCGGGGCACAAACCCGTGTCCCCTGCATCGGCAGGCGGACTCTCAACCACTGCGCCACCAGGGAAGCCCCAGAAAGTCCTTTTTGATATATGAGCAGGAGAATAACACCACAAAAATACTGTTTAACAGGATTATTCTGAGAGTTGAGCATGGCACAGACTCGAGCAGGGAAGCCTAGAAGAGGGACACCAAAAATAAGGCCATTGATAATAATTCAGGCAGAGGGAAATGGCTTAGAAATCAACAAGAAAGATGAGTTAGAAAAGCAAGTGAGAAAGAATCAGCAACTGCCTGGAGGCTGAGGACAAAGGAGAGAGGAAAAGATGTATCCACAAGTATCCTTAAGGCTGGGGGCCTGGGGAAGATGGCGTTGCCACTGACAGTTAAAGACAACCCAGAAAATGTGAGAATTATGGCGCAGTGGAGACTCCGGGCCCAGTAATGCGAGAGAGCTACTTAATGAATAAGGATCAAAATGTGCCTTGATGCCTAAGTTTACTCAAAAATGCTTCAAGCAGCTTATTAAACAAAGACCACTAGGAAAGTTATGTGGGAAGTGGGTTTGCAGGGACTGGGGTGAGAAAATGAACTCTATTACACTGGGCTGCCAGCAGGTCATCCTGGTGATCGCAAAGCAATTTAAGATTGGAAAATGAGTAACAAATCGGGGCTAGAGAGAAAAATTTGGTAGTCATTGGGAGGTTTTAGAAAAATATGAAACAGGGAACTGTGTAAAAGAAGTACTGGAACTGGCACAGAGAAAAATTAAACATTAACTAAGTTCTACCACCTACTTGCCGGGCACTGTATGAGAGGATTTTTCAAAATGATTAGAAGGTAGTCCAGACTTTCTAGAGTTTTGTGGACGAGTGATGACAAAGCTAAAAATAGAGTATGAACAAGAGCGTCTGGAACACAGAAGATGAAACAATTTTGTCTAGAGAGTTTTCTTACGACTGAGGATTAGGAGGAAAAGGAGATATCAAAATGGAGACAAAAGTAGAATTCAAAGAATAAGAAGGTAGTTAACGACATCAAAAGTAAAGAACAGAGATGGCCAGCTTTGATCAGAAAGCAATGCTTGAGGGAACAGCTTCAATAAAAATTTAAGATTAGAAGCATAAAAAGCTGAAAGGGCAAGAGGGAAGTTGTCTTCAAATATATCAAGAGAAAATATATATCTGTGTTACTTTGGAAGAATTAGGACCAATGGAAGACACTGTAAGATTTTCACTCTTAGGGGCTTCCTGGTGGCACAGTGGTTAAGAATCCACCTGCCAATGCAGGGGACACGGGTTCGAGCCCTGGTCGGGAAAGATCCCACATGCCGTGGAGCAACTAAGCCCGTGTGCCACAACTACTGAGCCTGCGCTCTAGAGCCCGCGAGCCACAACTACTGAGCCCACGTGCCACAACTACTGAAGCCCGTGCACCTAGAGCCCATGCTCTGCAACAAGAGAAGCCACCGCAATGAGAAGCCCACACACCGCAACGAAGAGTAGCCCCTGCTCACCACAACCAGAGAAAGCACGCGCGCAGCAACAAAGACCCAATGCAGCCAAAAATAAAAACAAATAAAATAAATGAATTTTAAAAAAAAAGATTTTCACTCAGTAGAACACATCTAACAACGAGAGCCTCACAGGGAGAGCATGGCTGAGGTGTGCGTGGGAAGACCATCCATTTGGAGAACAGGTTACTATTCATAGTAGGGGGATGGTAGACGCAAGGTGTGGAAGGGAAGGTTAAAGGTCTCAGCTGAGAGGCCTGGAGGATTGAAAGACTAGAAAAAAAAAAGATGGAGAGAAGCTAATCAAAAGGAATGGAATTTAGAGTGAAGTTAAGGCATCAATTCTTGTGCAAAACAGAGAAATGCCCAAGTGGAGAAACTCCAGATAATCCTGATCTTTCAGTAAAACAGGTGGGGCATCACCAGTGGTAACAGAAGGCCGAGAACTTCTGAGAGAATAACTAGCCAGGAGGGTTTCAAAACCAATGGATGTAAAGTCATGATGAAATGAGGCACATGTGGCTTTCTGGTGCTGACAGGTGCAGCGGGCAGGGTCTTTGGAACTTTGTCTCCCCCTGCTGAGTCAAGAGGCAGGAACGGCTGAGACAAGGAAAGGAGCCCAATAGGAAAGAACTGTTTCTTTTGGCGGGCGG